CAAGTCTTGGTTCTGGAAAGACTGTGGTTTGCTGCTGGTTTTTACACTGCCATCTTCCTCCCAGGGATGATTTTTTGCTGTTAAATTCAATTTGCTAGTATTTTATTAAGAATTTTGTATTTGTGTTAATAGAGGGCATTATTTTGTTGTTGTTGTTATTGTGTCCTTGCCCTCTTGTGGTAAGAGGATATTGCTGGCCTCATACAATGAATTTGGAATTGCTCCTTCCTTTCCAATTCTGTGGAAGAATTTGAGAAGTGGCATTAGTTCTTCCATAATGTTTGGTAACATTTAACAGTGAAGCCATCACTGAGGGTTTCTTTGTTGGGAGATGTTTTATTATTGATTCAATGGTATTACTTGTTATTGGTCTAGTCAGGTTTTTTGTGTCCTCATGGTTCAATTTTGGTAGGTGATGTGTCCAGAAATTTGTCCATTTCTTTTTGGTTTTCCAACTTGTTTGCATACAGTTTTTCATCATAGTCCCTAATGATCCTTTATATTTGTGTTATCATTTATGTCTCCTTTTTCAACTCTATTTACATGGGTCTCTCATTTATTTATTTATTTTTTTGGTTAGTCTAGCTAAGGGTTTGTTGATTTTTGTTTACCTTTTCAAAGAACCAGCTCTCTGTTTCATTAGTATTTTGTCTTTTAAAATCTCTATTTAATTTATTTTTGCTCTGTTCTTTGTTGTCTCTTTCTAATTTGGGGTTTGGTTTATTCTTGCTTATTTATATTCTTGAGATGTATTGTTAGATTGTTTATTTGAAATCTTTCTAGTTTTTTTTTAATGTAGGCTCTCATTGCTATAAAATTTCCTCTTAGTATTGATTTTGCTTCAGCCTACACGTTCTAGTTTGTTTTTTCATTTTCATTTCTTTCAAGGAGTTTTTAAATTTCCCTCTTAAACTTTCTCAGTGACACAGTGTTCCTTCAAAAATTGTTCAGTCTCCAAGCATTTGTGTAATTTCTAAAATTTTGTTATTAAGTAAAATTTTGTATTGACTTTTATTTCATTTTGATCATGAAAGATACAGAATATGATTTCAGTTTGTTTCTTAGTTTGATAAGACTCATTTTGTGGCCTGATATATGGTCTGTTCTAGAGAAAGTTTCATTTGGTGATGGAAAGAATTGTTGAAATGTTATGTAAATTTCTCCTAAATCCATTTAATCTGCAGTATAGTTTTAATGTTGATGTGTATTTGTTGATTTGGCAGGAGAGGTCTGGATAATCTATCCATTGGTGCATGTGGGGGTTGGAAATATCCCAGTATTACTACATTGTAGCCTGTATCTCCCTTTAGATCTAATAGAGTTTGTTTTATATAAGTGGGCATGCTATCTATCATTGGTACATATAGATTTACAGTTTCTGGTATCTTCTTGTTGAATTGATTACCTCATCATTATAGAGTGACTGTTTTTGTCTATTCTCACTGTTTTTTTCTTCAAGTCTGCTTTGTCAGATAGAAGTATACTTATTCCTGCTTGTTTTTGGATTTCATTGATTTGGTATATAATTTCCATCCTTTCATTTTCAGTCTGTGTATAAAGAGCGATGTGGTGAATTTCTTGTAGATAGCATCTTCTTGGGTCTTATTTATGTATTCAGCTAGTCTGTATCTTTTGAGGATTCAGCCCATTTATATTTACAGTTATTATTGATAGGAAGAAACTGAGTATTGTCATTTTGATTTTCTTCTAGTTTTGAATATTCTTTTTTCTTCTCATTTGTTTTGGTATTTTGTTGTTTTACTCTATTGACAGTTTGATGTTTTTATTTTGTATCCACTTTTCTAGCAGGATTTATACTTTCACATGCTTTCATGATGGTAGTTATCTTTCACTCTGGATGTAGGACTCCTTTAAAGTATCTATTGTGAGGCTGGTATGATGGTCATCAGATCCCTCAGTTTTTGCTTGTCTTAGGAAATCTCTCATTTATGAAGGGTATACTTGGTGGGCATAGTAATCTTGGTTTGCAATTATTTTTTTTAAGGACTAGGAATACATGATTCTATTCCTTCATGGTGTGTAGGCTTTCTGCTGAGAAATCTGCTAATTTGATGGGGATTTCCTGAAATGTAACTTAGTGCTTTTGTTTCGCAGATTTAAAATTCTTTGTTGTGTACTTTTGACTATTTTACTATAATATGCCATGGTGAATGTTTTACCTTGTCATTACTAATTGGACTGATTCTTTGTGTTATATTTTTGATCATTTGACTATAATATGCTATGGTCAACATTTTACCTTGTCATTAGATATCTTTCCCATGATTAGGGAATTTTTCTGCTAGTATTTCATTGAGAAGGATTTCAGTACCCTTAATTTTATTTTCCTTGGCTTCAGGTACACACACAGCTGGCCACAGCCTAGGTCTCAGAGGGCAGGCTCTTTGCTATTTTGGCTCTTGCAGGTGGTGCTCTGTGTGCTTATCCATGTTACAGTAGCTGTGCCTGCCCTGTAGGGCACCCAGCAGGCTTAAGTCACAGTCACTCTGCTGGGCCACACTGGGGCAGCTAGCCCACAACCCAGTGCAGTGCAATGTCTTTGCAGTTCCAGAGATAGAAATATGCAGGAGTTTCTGAACCTCACAGCTGTCTAAACTATGACAACAGCTTACTTCTCAAGATGACTTCTGGCTATGACACCCTGGGTGCTTGCTGGGAGATGACATGAGACCCTCTTCCAAAGCAAGGCAACTGTGTAGATTCAGTTTAATTATGTAGGGACAGCAAACCTGTGAGGATTGTGAATATTTTCAGTAGCTAAGATGGTCATCATTTGCACTGATGGAGTTTGGTGGGACTCTCTCACCTTTACAGAGGGAAGACTCCCCTCCCCCTGGCTGTGAAACCAGAAAGGCAGTGGCAGGGGTATTGTTTCTCTTACTGTGCTGTTGTCTCAGGCCTCTGAATCTTACATGATTCTAGTATTTCCTCTGCTGATTTTAGTGTTCTCCCATAGTCATTCACCTCCATATGCAGTAATACACCTGTTACTTCTGTTCTTCTCTGTGCAGGAGAAGGGGAGTGCTGGGCATCTCTATTCAGCTATCCCAAATCTCTCATGAAGCATGGTTTTACTGAACGTAGATCACTGTTTCACCAATGTACAGTGAAAATCCTAAGTTGAAGCATCATAAATCAGGGACCATAGATAAGTAGAGTGGGAGGAGGTGGTTGATTTGTTGACTGATTTTAAGAAATTGGCTAACATGCATGTCTGAAATCTAGAGGGCAAGCTCTCAGGATGGAAATTCTGACAGGAGCTGATTTGGCAGTCTTGAGTCCAGAGGCATTCTGGCAGCAGAATTCTTCCTTCTTTGGAGGACCTCAGTTGCTTCTCTTATGGATGGTCTTTAACTGATGGGATGAGGACCACCAGTGTTATGGAGGCTAATGTATTTTATTCAAAATCTATAAACTTAAGTGCTAATCCTGTCTAAAAAAATAACTTCACAGTAACATCTAGCCTATTGCTTCTTTTGGACAATTGTACCAGATAAATACTTTTGGCTTTGCATGATGGATTTCAGGGAAGAAGTTTATCATATGCAGTATAAGAAACTCAGCATCTATGATCAAAATGTGCAATAATTATTTTACATTAGTAGCTTTGCTTTAAAATGTGAACACTTACCATGTTTTGGTTTTGTTTTTCCCGTATCCCATTTTAAAAATGAGAAAAGAGAGACTTAATAGTTACAGAACATGACAGAGCCTGGATTTGAACCTTGTTGTTCCACTTATCCACTGTATTACCATGTTTGTTAGTTATTGGTATAGATGGTGGTCATGTAAAAAATTGTCGCTTTGGAGGAAACCTGAGGTGAAGGTTTATGAAAGATTATACAACACTGGTTGAAGGTGTATCTTTATACTGTTAGAGTGTTAAAAAATGAAAAGTCGTGTTTCCTTATGCTGATTGCCTCTAGTCAGAATATACCTGAAACTTTCCTTTTTCTGCTATAAACCCTTGCCCTCTGTTCTGCCTGCCTTTGAGTCTCTGCCAGACACAAAGGACAATGGCTGACTCCCTCTATAGCAAGCTCTGATTAAATAGCTTTTGCTTTTCTCACTTGGTTGACCTTTGTTTATTTTCACAGTATCTATTGTGGCTCCTATCATTTCATGGCTTATCTACCCACCAGCTGTGTGTGAGGCTCCCATTCACCCATGCCTTCCTCAGTGGTACTGCCTGAATTTTAAGCCTGTGCCAGTCTAGGAATAAGCAGTGATTTGTTGTTGTTTTCATTTATATTTGCCTGATTATTAGTGAGGTGGAGCCATTGTTTGAGACAGTTCTTTCCAGAAGTTCTTAAAGGGTTTATAAGAAATGAGTTACAGGTTATGTATGGTCTTTTCCAAAGCATACTGTGGTTGAGTAGGATTTGGAGGTCTCATGGATCTCAGTAGTTCTTAGTCTTAGTCTCGAATGCAAATAGTATATAATTGTCTACTGTAATATTTTTTCTGTTTTGTGAAATACATTTTTCCTTGTGGTCTTTTCTGGATAGACTTACCTACAAAACAATCACTTTTTACAATGTGCAAGGATACAAATTTCAGGTAGTTAGCTTTACTAACTTATTTTTTTTGGTACCCAGGATCCAACTCAGGATGTGATGTCACTGAGCTAAATCCCCGGCCCTTAGCTTTACTTGTTTCTGAAGATAGGGGAGTAGCCTAATTGTAAGTTGTAAGCAGGCTGAAATCTGGACCCCCTCAGGTAAAGCCAGCAGCATGGTTCTGTGTAACTGGTCTTCCTGGCCCCAGATCACCTGAGGCACTTGGTGGAACTCAAAGGGTAGGGATGGGGGAAGGAGTGGAGGCCTAGTGACCTCCATGGTATCTTAGCATGCCATCTGGTGTGGCTGTTTGATGAAATCCTATCTTTTATCACTTTCATCTTCAGCCTAGAAAGACACCTTCAAAGATTCTACACAACTTTGAGCTCATTGTATTCTATTCCTTTTTGTCTTCTGCAGGCAGGAATTTGTGGACGCTTACGTGAATTACATCTTCCAAATCTCAGTTCACGAGTGGTACACAGCCTTTTCCAGCGGTTTCCTAAAGGTGTGCGGTGGCAAAGTACTTGAGCTCTTCCAGCCTTCAGAACTAAGGGCCATGATGGTGGGGAACAGCAACTACAATTGGGAAGAGCTAGAAGAGGTAGGCACAAAGATGTTGTCTTTGAACTCTAGCAGAGCAGCAGTAGCCTGAAGGTGCGCCCAGGGCCTGTTCTCCTTCAAAGTGAACTATGGTTGAGTAGGATTTGGCGGTCTCCTGCACCTCAGGAGTTTTTTCCCAGTCTGAAGTACAATTAGTATACACTGTCTACTATGATATTCTTATTCTGTAAGGTGTCTTTTTGTCTTTTTTGGACAGACTACCATCTACAAGGGTGATTATTCAGCCTCACATCCCACTGTGAAACTATTCTGGGAAACATTTCATGAGTTTCCATTGGAAAAGAAAAAGAAGTTTCTCTGTAAGTATCGATCTCAATATGTTATTTATCTACATTTTAGTCTTACACATAGTGTAGGGTGACATTATTCTACAGGTAAGCTTTAACTCTTAAGTGGTATAGAGTAGTGAAACAAACTTGTTTTTTGTCATAATCATCAGAGGCACTACATAGGTTGCTATCCATATGTTCTGCCTTACAGGAAGGATTACATAAGAGGCAGAAAAGAACTGTTTCACTAATTTTCACGCACTTTAAAATAATACTGTTGTAGGTAGGTGTGCTGATGTGCATCTATAGTCCCAGCTAGTGGGGAGGTTGAGGCAGTAGGATCTCTTGAGCTCAGAAATTTGAGGCCAGCCTGGGCAACATACCAAGGCTATATCTCAAAATAAATAATTAAATTAAAAGTAATTATTTGTATGATTGTATGTGAAAGTGATTCCTTTAAGTATTACATTTATGAAATGAAATTGTTTGTATTAACTTCCCTTATTATCTGTATCCTTTATAAAATATTACAGTGTCCACTGTAGGTAGAGCTGGTGAAGCATGATTTATAGCAGCTTTATGTGACATAATTCACATACCATACACTTTACCCATTTAAAGTATACAATTTAGTGGTTTTTAGTACATGCACATAGTTGTAAAGCTATCCTTAATCAATTTTGGAATATGTTTGTCACCTCACAGTAAAACTCCATCTCTGTTAGCAGTCACTCGTACTGTTTCTCTACCTCTGTTCCCACTTAGGGTTTGTGTCCTTGTGGCTTTGCCTATTCTGGGCATTCCCTGTAAACGGTATCATACAATATTCAGTTCTTTGTAACTGCATGGATGATAACTGAATTAGCCTTTTAAAAATTAGCCTTTCTCTAGTTGTGTCTGTATGTAATCAAGGTCAGAAATTAGCCAGTGAATAGTATAGAGTTCTTGTCAGTATAAACACCGGGTTTGAAAGGTATTCTCTTTTACTTTATAAGAATGAGCATACATTATTCTTAATGCAAGACTTAGCCCAGATTCTTCTGCTTATATGGAACAAAGATGAGAGGCCATGACCTTACACAACAGCTCTTACAAGGGGCCCTGCTTCCCCTCTGCCCAGCTGTATTTGCTGTTGAGAAGCAGCGGCATGAGTCTGGTGACAGGGTAGGGTTTGCCAGATGAGCTCCTAAGGCCATGATGGTCAGAAGAAGCCTGTTTGTGGCCTTGAGGATTCCTTAGAAGCAGGCATTTCCTATTCAGATACCATTAGATTAGAGAAATGTTTATTAACTCTGGAGATTTGGGCAAGATTGTATACCATAGTGTCAACTTATTTAAAAGTACCTCTTAACTAACGATTTCGTTACAGCATTTTACAGCAGTTTAGGTATGAGAGTTGCCCAGCAGTAGGAAATGGGGAAATAACAGCTATCTCTGTCTCTCGTTTATGGGGGCTTTTTCTTTGTCAAGTTACCGGTGCATGTTGCAAGAGTGAAATGCCTGATGTAAAGTCTGGGTCAGCTCTTCTGGTTTATAAAAAAGAGAGCCAGGGAGAGGAGAGCACATGGATCCTAAAGGGAAACGCAGGGGCCAAGGTGGTCCAGATCCTAGATATCTTAAGTAAGGGACCTGGAAGTCACAGAGATTTGGTCTTTTTCCTGGTTTCCCTAAAGGCAGCTCCTCCTTTTCCATGTCAATAATTTCTTTCTCTCTGATTTCGTGAAAGCTCAAAAAGTTCATGAGGGTGTACATTTGATTGAGGCCATTTTTACTTGAGGCCATTTCGGAGCATCTGTCCTCCTTCCACTGGATGCATATTAGCATTGTACTTCCCCTGTGAGCCACAAGGTGTCATGTCTTCCTCTCTGTCACCAGGAGGACCTCTGAGATCAGCTCCTGTTTGCATAGCTATTAATGCAGTCTCCTTTTCCCTACAGTGTTTCTGACTGGCAGTGACCGGATTCCCATCTATGGTATGGCCAGCCTGCAGATTGTCATCCAGTCCACAGCCAGTGGGGAGGAGTATTTGCCCGTGGCTCACACTTGCTACAACCTTCTCGACCTCCCCAAGTACAGCAGCAAAGAAATTCTGAGTGCACGGCTAACCCAGGCTCTTGACAACTATGAGGGGTTTAGTTTGGCCTGAGGCTCCCCAGCTTGTCCTCCGTGTCCCTTCCTTCCTCAGTGTCCACACTGAGGTCTATACAGAAAATCATGGGGAGTTATTTCTATTTTTTTACTGTCTTATGTGGGTTGGGACTTTTGAATCCTGAACCTAGTTCATGTGTTTCTGGGGTTGTAAGTAGTTAACCTTTTTTGGAAATCAGGGGTTGGGGATGGGATGATATTGGCTTTGGTATGGGAGGTGGTTTTGATTTTGTTTTATTTTTGTTTTAAAACAACTACACAGTGTTTGTTGCACCTGTGAATGTGTTGCACTCTGCTGGATAAAATGGCAGTAGCTTCTTAAGCTTTTCCCAAACGTCTTTCTTAGCCTTGATCTTTCCTCACAACGCTTTCTTGTCCTTCTAACTTCTCATTCCTCTACAAGAATGATTTTGACTGCTCTATCCCTTCTTACCTGTGCATGCAAAACATCTCCTTTCTCTACAGCCTTGGAAATTCCCTGGCTTCTTGTAGCCCTACACTAACCAAAAGGAGGAAAGGACTACATCAGAAGGTCCCAATTTCAGAAAGCTGAGCATGGGCAGAGCCCTTGAGAGTTTCAGGGAGACTCTGAGAAAATCTTCCTGAAAGAGAAAAAAGTTTTTAACTAGGTATGGAGGTGTGTGGCAGTGATCTCAAGCTACTTCTCAGCCTGCGTGGGAGGCTGAGGCAGGTGAATCACAAGTTTGAGGCATTCTAGGCAATTTAGTGAGATCTTGTCATAAAATTATTAAAAAGCACTGGAGATGGAGCTGAGGAGTAGAGCACTTGCCTAGCATGCACAAGGCCCTGGGTTCCTTCCACACCAGTACCAAAAATAAATAAATAAAAATACTTAAGGGAGTAGCAACCTTTTGATGGCTGTGCTCAGCTTCTGCTCCTTACAGATATGCAGAACAGCTTAGGGTTGTACTTGAGCTTAATTTTGTTTTGTTGCTCAGCCATGTTCCTTTGTCAGTAATGTGAACTGGTAGGCCTCTCACTTCTTCTGTTACCTCGCTTTTGGAGCAAGTTGCATTAATTTTTTTAAGTCTATATTGCCCAAGAAAAGTAGAAATAATCCATTTCTTATCCCTTTATCACTTTATGTCCTCTACCACTTTCTCATTCCTTCCCTCCTCCCTTACCTTACTTTTCCTTCCTTCCCTCTTCTTCCTATCCTTTTACTTAAATCTTCTGTCTTCTCTACTAGATGCATGATATCTGTTTTGTTATTTTTATTTAAATTGCAAAATTTTTGACTTATATTTTTTTCTTCTTCTCTAATTGTTAAGACCTATGGATATTCTTTGTCATGCAATTTTTGTTTATCACATTTGAAATGTTTGTTTACAGTGGGATTTCAATGGGGATTGTGTTTAAATCAAATATATATATATATATATATATAAAATCTCAAAAATGACATATTCAGTGCTCTTCATCATGGGATGAGAAAATTCTACTTGATTAAGGAACCCATGAAGCCTAATTTTAAATTCCTAGTACTGGAGAAAAGATTTATTTATATAAATGAAGTATTTATGAACCGTGATACAGCATCAAATCTCAATGAAGGATTGTAGATTTTTGCTTTTTCTTTTTGTTTTTAAAACTTACTCCAATTGCTAAATTGGTAGTTTTTCAGTCTTTATAAATACAAGATTAAAAAAGATATACTGTTATATGAAATGTTTATTTTATATGTGTGTGCATATAGTTCAGTATTATGCAATAAATTTGGTGTTTTAACTTAAAACTGTTTCTAATTGTATTTGCAGAATGGACAGCTTGCTTTCAGTGGAAGCATTAGGTCATTTACCCAGACAATCTATTAGAAGGTCAAATTTGGTTTCTGCAGTAAGAAGGTAGACCCAAGTGCTACAGAAGTGGAGAGGAAAGTGGGGGAATTAGCATGGAGAAGGATGGGGTTTCCCACAGTTGTGCTGAGTACAAAAGCATTTTCTAGAGAAGAGAGTGGCCTTAGCCAAGGCTCAGGTGAGGATAATTAGGGAAGAGTCTGGAGCAGTTTGAAGGGAGCATCAGAGAAAACGGAATAATTGCAAATAAGCCTGGGGGGACAGAAGATAATTTGGATGTGAAGAACCAGGCTGGGCTTTAGTGAATAGGATTTGTTCAGGAATTCAGAAGGTGAGGTGATATGGCTAGAGTCTGGCTTTAAGAAGGAAAATGTGTAATAGTATATATTTGGAGGAATTGGAATGGGAAGGACTGAAACAGAAAGACAGGAACCCAAAGCAGTGATGGTGGCTGTAGTGGAATTAGAAAACAGCAGATGGGCAGGAGAGAAGAGAAAATAAAGATGAATCAGACTTGTTCACATAATGAAAGTCATTTGCCACTTACAAATGTCGTAAGTGAGTGGAACACAGCTGAGTACCTTCAATACATTTGTAAAACAAGTTGATGTATTGTTCTGCCAGATTAATAGGTGGTAAAAAGTAGTAAAGAGAACTGTAGCTTTCTAATAATAAGCTCTTCAACAAACCTACATAAATAAATAATTTACATAACCCAAAGGTTGAAGAGCAAAGAAATCTCATTCTTAATTTTGTTTAAAAATAGCCATGTTACCTTAAATAACTTGGGGGCCTCAGAATACTTATCCATGCAATAAAGAGATTGGACCAGATACTTTTTAAGGTTCCTTTGAGCCATAAAGTTCTAGAATTCCATTACTGACAATAGAACCTGCACATAGAGACCCCTAATAAATACTTATAAGTGTTATATGAATGAAATTCTGTACTGCTCCTAAAACACATTTTTCTGGAGTAGTTTCCTTTTTCCCCCTTTCATCACTTGTTGCTTTAGAACATTCTACTTTTCTGGATATTCTAGATTTCCCACAAATACATTTCTGGACATACTTTTACCCCTGTGAACCTTTGGATAGCCCTTCACTGGCCAGATCACTTAGCAATTTAAGGAAGTCCTTTGGCAATTTTGTTTTGGTAGGTAGGGTTCAGTGAAAGTGTAACTAGGCAATTTAGCAAATTCTGATAGTTCTACCCATCCCATGTGAAAGTCCTCTGATGACTTGTCTAGTATTCTACTGGTAATTATAGGAATTAAGGGCTGGCAAACTAACGCCTTTGTTACAGTTTACAGTTTTAAAAGGGTTGAAAAATATTAAAAATATAAAGACTATCTGACCTACCAAAACTAGCATATTTATATCTAGTCTTTTACAGAAAAAAATTTTGCCAATCTCTATGAAAACAGACTTGCAGAAATTATGATAACAGTGGATAACCTTATCTTGGGACCATCTTGTCATAATTTGATGCTGAACCAGAGAAGACCATTGTTTGGGCTTTTCTGCCACGAAGGTAAGAAAATTATGTTTTGTCTAAGATTAATGCACAGAAATGGATACTAAGATTCTGATTTTAGTAGTAATAACTTGCATTGATTGTGTGCTGTGTGCCAGGTCCTGTGTCAATATTTACAATCTACTCTCCAGTTTAGTTGCCACCACAGCCCTTCTGGCTCTGCCATTTATTACCTGTGTGGTCTTGGGAAGTTTTGCTAATCTCTCTGTACTTCATTTTCTTCCGTTCAAGAAGGGGACAGAAATATTACATACCTCATGGAACTGTTACAAAGATTAAATGAATTCATGGAAAGTACATTTCTATGCCTAGCACATAATGAGCCGCAATAATTATGGTCATCACTGTTATTCCAGTTTTTTACCTGAACATAACTTGTTCATTATCACAAAGTGGTGGGCCCTGGACTTGACCATAACCTGTAGTACTATACCCAGCTACTAGGTTGGGGCAGTACATTTGACTGAGGCTCCACAGTGGTCAATAAAAAGGAACACTGTGATGCCACAAGTGACTTCGCTGAGCACACAAAGACATCACAGTGAGTTTTGTGTTTCACTGTGGTGCACAGTTCAGTAATGATGAGGCGTGCAGGTCTCCTGTCATCTGCACCGGGTCTCAAGTGCAGCAGAGGGTCACTGACTGGGGGCCTCCATTGACATTTAGAGATAGGGGCCCAGGTACACTTATGGCCTTGCACTGGTAGAACAGTTCCTCTTCATCCTGCCCAGCATGCCAGTGGGTACTGCTATGGTCAGAGTGTGTGAAGCCTGACTCCCATGGTGACATTAGGACATAGGGGTTTGGGAAGTGATTGGATTTGGTGATCAGGCAGAGCCCTTATGAGTGGAATTAGCCTCCTCAGGAACACACTCCCAAAGAGGTGCCTTGCCCCTCTGGGGACACAGTGAGAAGTTACAATCCGTGAGAAAGCAGGTCCTCACTAGACACTGCCAGCCCTTGGCCTTGGACTTTCCAGTGCCAGACCTGTGAGATAAAAACCTAGTCAGTACTTGTCAGGCCCCTTTACAAAACAGAGATGGATGAGCTTCATGTGTATCAGCTGATTTTCTTTGTAGAATATTTCTTTTTTAGAAAACACTTAAAATTTTTGATTTTTGAATAATTTCAGGTTTATAGGAAAGTACTAAAAATAAAGTTTTTATGTCGACATGTCACTATGGTACATTTATCAAAACTAAAGAACCAATATAGGGAGATTACTGTTAACTAAATTCCAAACTAGATTTTTACCAATTTTTCTACTGATGTCTTTTTCCAAGGTCTGATTCAGGATCTCACATTGCATTCAGCTCAACAGGATTTTAGTTATGTATTGGGATTCAAGGCTTTGCCTTTGGTCAGACCTGGGAGTTAGGTAGGGTAGAAGAAATAAGGATGGTATAAAGGAGACAAGAAAAATTGTAATTTAAAAAATTGTATGTTTAAGAAAAACCACAGCTTCAGGACACAAAAGTTACTCTCTGTTACAATGCCTTTTTTCTCTTCCAGGAAACTAAAAAAAAAAGGCTAAGTCTTAAAGATACACTAAGTCTATAAATTGAGCCCGTGCTTTCTACCTGTAAATTAAGCCTGCATCTTTCCTCTAATAGATACTGTAGATTTACAAATTCTACAGACTTCCCTCCCCATGGAGATAGCACTAAATCTAAACTTGGATACCCTAAATCTAAACTTGAAATATATGCATACAGTTGCAGTCTAACCTACCCTACCAAGAGCCTGACAGACCCTAGGAATACACATCCTAGATCATTCATTTTGGACCTCTCACTGATGGGTCCTGAAATTCTTTTTCTGTGACAGAAGTCAGTGAACCTGTAGCCTACTCCATGGGTGGAGTGAGTTGAACTCTCCACCTCCTTTTTGGGGTGACCTCTGTGGACCCTGTCTGCTGACAGGTGTGCAGGTATCCTGTGCCCTCTGCACTGCCCCTGGGCATTGTGCAGTACAGTCTCCCCACACAGGGTACAGGGAAGGTCCTCTTAGGACTGGTAGGTTGTCTGGCCACCCCTTGGGTCCTGGAAGACCATTGGACCTTGGCAAACAGTTTAGTGTTCTCAGAAGCAGGAATTGCTGACCTTCAGGTTTCAGATGTTGGCAAAAGGCAGCATTTCCTATGGGAAAACACCTTTTATGAGAAGGAGGAGGAGGTTTGTATTTATATAAGTTTGGCTATCTCTGAGTTTTCAAGAAATGTTATGTTAAACTTTATTGCAAAACTTTTTAGATAACTATGAATTTCTAGGAGGGAAATAGGGTATATATAACCAGAGTTACTTTTCCACTCATTGTCCTATCTTCTAGGAGATATTTTTGAGGGGGGAGAATAAGGGTAGCTTAGTATCAGTTAATTTCTCCCAGAACCATAGTTTGGGATTGGTAGTCAAATAGTTAACGGGAGACAGGAAAGGTGGGTCAAAGGAGAGCATATGATAGAATAGGAAAACAGATTTGAGATGATGCCCAGTAAATTGAATATTTTGTCAGGGACAAGCATAGGTTAAAAAAATTTCAATAAAAGCTACTCTGCAGAATTTCATCATTTCCTTTTATTGAAAAATTTAACTCTTGGTTGTCATAAGTTTTCTTTGGCCATTAAAATGGAACCAAGCAATTTTACAGTTAAGTCTCTAAAATGTCTACAAGCACAGTGCTCATGTTGCCTTTACTAATAGCAGAATTGCTGGAGTTAAGTCTTCTGATTTGTGAGTGTCTCTAGTTTTAAGATGCTTTTGTGCATGACCTGGTCATCCATGGCTTCACCTACAGCCTTATGCTGGGGAACAGGATTACATGGAGCAGAGAATGGCAGATGTTGGTCCCAACACTCTGCTTTGGTCTGCTAACCCTGACCCCGATGCAGTTAGAAGCTGTGTGTCCTCATGGAACCAGACATAGGTTTGGGTTAACCTCTGTCATGCCCTTTACTTGTGTGCAGCAATCTAGTATATGCATAGATGGGTAGATGCTGGTGAAAACGTCTACCCCAGTATGGTCATACTTTTTGGCTCCTCATTAATAACAGCTGCTCCTATGGAGTAGCCAGTCCAAGCTTTAGTGCTTTATTTCCTTTCAAAATAATGGAGTGTATACACCTTACTTATGTGTAGCACCAAAAAAATTAGTTCAGATGTCAGCCCCACCCCACAACCTGAGTGGCTGGAGGCTTGGCAGGGTGCACAAATCATATGGTCTTCAGATCTTTTAAAAGCTGGTTTTCCTCAGCCTAATCCCATGAGAGTTAGATACAATTTATAATAATTATTGATTTTGTCCCCACGGGTGTTGAACTTCCTGAGAAGTTTATGAATTAAACACACACACACACGCACACCCCTCAAATGCAGCTAAGTGCTAAACCAGATTAGTCTTTTCATAG